CCTGCTCACTTCACTCCGAGGGCTACCGCCCACGGCTAAGGCGTCGATGGAGTGGATCGGCGCGCTAAACAGCTCGCAGTCCTCGCCAACGACCTCGCTCAACCCGCATCACGATGATGACCCGCACGCTCTTGGCCCTGGGCCTCAGCTTCGTCTGCCTCGCCTCCACGGCGGCCGAACCGGCCACCAAACCCGCGGGTCTTAAGCCCGGCGACACGGTGATGATTGTCGCCCCCTCGGGCGACCTCGATGAGGAGCGCATCGAGCTGGCCGTCGAGCGGCTGAAGGAGTTGGGTTTCAAGGTCATCGTCCCGGAAGACGTCTACAGCCAGTGGGGCTATCTGGCCGGCAGCGACCAGCGTCGGGCGGACTAAATCATGAAGGCGTTCACCGACCCCGACGTGGACGCCGTCTTCCCGAGCACCGGCGGCTACGGCGTCATGCGGATGCTCGACCTCTTGGACTTCGACAAGATCCGCGACAACCCCAAGGTCCTGATCGGCTTCAGCGACATCACGGCGCTCCACATGGCGCTGGCGAAGAAGTGCAATCTGGTGACGTTCCACTCTCCCAATCCGCAGTGGGGTTTGGGGAGCGACGAAGGCTTTCCTGCGTACAACGCCAAGTACTTCTGGCGTTGCTTGATGGCGGACCAAAACGACGGCGACGAAGGCTTCACTTACGAGACGCCCGACGGGGCGCCGCTCCGCGTTATCGCCCCGGGCGTCGCCGAGGGGACACTGTGCGGCGGCAACCTGACGCTCGTCGCCAGCCTGACGGGCACGGAGTACGAGCTCGATACCGAAGGTCGCGTTCTCTTCCTGGAAGACGTCCGCGAATCGCCCTACCGCATCGACCGCATGCTCCGCCAGCTCAAGCTGTCGGGGCAACTCGACAAGCCGGCGGCCGTGATCCTCGGTCAGTTCAGCAAGTGCGAGTCGGACGGCGACGGCTCGAGCCTGGCGCTCGCCGAGGTGCTGCTCGATTACTTCGCCGACGCCACTTACCCGGTGGTCTACAACTTCCCGGCCGGGCATGTAAAGGACAACGCCACGCTGCCGCTGGGAGTGCGGGCACGAGTCGACGCCAATCAGCGTCGGGTCAGCGTGTTGGAGAACGCTGTATCGGCGCCGTGACGGGCCTTTCTTTAGCGGCGTTTTTCTTTCCGAGAGACGCCAAAACCCGGTGAAACTGGGGTTGCTTGGGCCGCTTGGGGCTCCTACTTTCCCGCCGCCTCGGGTCGAGTCCCGGGGTTGGTCTCTTCTACCGGACCAAACTAGCAGGAGCAATCTGCGCCGATCGCGCGGCCTACGGGCCGCCGTCGTTGCGGTGCGCTGACTGAACGCACTAGCTCGGGCCCACCTCGATAGGGAAGTCAGGGATGCCAAGCCGTTTCGCCCCCATGCTGGCGCTCGCCGCATACGCCACGCTGCTCGCCGCGAACTCTG